GTCATGGAGTTGGTTGTGACTCACAGTGACCCTGTACAGGGTTTCCAAGGCTGTAAATCTTTACGGGAGCAGAAAGCCTCCTCTTTCTCCCGCAGAACAGCTGGTAGTTTCGAACTGCTGACCTTGAGGTTAGCAGCCCAATTTGTAACCACTACGCTACCAGAGCTCCTTTTGTGGTGTGGGGTAGAACCATGAATTAAGGTGTCTGGAATGCTAACATGAGGAATGGTCAGTAGCGTAGTGGTTACGAATCGGGCAGCGAACCTTAAGGTCAGTGGTTCGAAACTACCAGCCGCTCCGCGGGAGAAAGATGAGGCTTTCTACTCCCATAAGGATTTACACCCTCGGAAACCCTGTACAGGGTCGCTATGGGTCGGCTCCGACTCGAAGGCACTTAACAACATAACAACAGGCTTAAAATGAACCATCCCAGAGGTGGCCGGGGGACCTCACTGGCACCAAGAAAGAGACAGGAGTACATCCTTGGTACCTGAGGTTCCTGACCCCGGAGACAGAGCTGTAACAGCAGAAATGGTGAGAGACTGTGAGATGCAGCAGGAGAGAAACTGTGGCAGCAGAACCAGGCGATCAGTAGGCGTTAGCATGGTGGGCCTTCCGGTCATGGGGTGAGAGCTCTGGGCACTATTAGTGCTGCTAAGGATCAGCACCGGACTGCTAACCACAAAGTCAGCGGTTCAAATCTACCAGTCACTCTCAGAAACCCTGTAAGGGGTTGTTGAGTCAGAGCTGACTCAAAGGCTACAACAACAACAACAAAGAGCACTGGTAGCATCTGCCTGAGTAGGGTAGATGCTGGGCCTCAGGGCTCAAGAGGTCCAAGGGGCAGAGGGTCAGGGAGAACTAAGAATGACTGAGAAGGGGATGAATTAAAGAACTACATCTGAGTCCTTCTGGATCCTGAATTGTAACCTGTTCCTTCCCTAATAAATCCCATAATCAGCAATGTGACCTGCAAGTGGTATGTCACCACAATGACAAATTTAGTCATATACCCAACAGAGGAGTATCAGGTACCGTGGGAGGAGGGAGGGCTGGTACCAGAATTGGTAAACAGGTTGGATAGAGGAGGTTTGTCTGACTTCTACCTCCTAGGACTTAACTCTGAGCTGTCATCTTAATTCTCTCCCCGCCTTGTGAAATTAGAGGAAGTCAGAAGCCTGCTACACTGTTTTTACAGAGCCTGACTCTGACATGACGTTCACACTCCTGGACTCCAGCTCCAAGCCATCTGAAATGTGATAACCGAGCCTTTTCTAATGTCATCCAAGTCTGTACCTTGGCCCCACTCCATCTGTTTGAGTTTCTGCTTCAGTCCAGCTGTCCACAACCCCTGACACATGCTCTCTACGGCGGTCCACTGCCTGGCTACAAGCTGTACCCAACAGTCCAGCAGTTTCTGCACATTTTCTATTGGTTAGGGGCTGTGCTCCAGACTCACATAAACAATACCATCCAACACTAACTCTAGGCTGTGTGGACTATGATTATGCATTTATTAAACTGGCAAACGGAGGCTAAAGGAGGTTATGGGACTCGTCAAACTGGCGAGAAGAATTCTAGACGCTAGATGAGTCATTCTAGTTTTGGTGATTACTTCTAATTTTATCTTTTAACTCACCCACGTCAGTGAATCATGACTGAATTGCCATCTCGCTACGTACAGATTTACATTCAACATTGCCATTTGTCATCATGATCACCCATGAGGGGGTTTCAAGAAGTTTGTGGGAAAATGGAGCGAAAAAACAATGAAAATTTCCGACAAACATTCTAAGCCCTCCTCATATTTATTGAAACCACTAGCCGCTGGAAGTGTCACTTGGAACAAGCTAAGCGCTCACCCACTCCTGCCTTCCTCTGAGAGAAGAGCGAGGGGGAGCCGGGCTATGCTCTTAGGCAGGTGATGGGATTACCCTGCTTCTGTGTGAGGCCTGTGGAAGTGAGCTGCCCACAGACGCAAACAACTCCTATATGTGAAAAGGGTTTCCTTCACTCTGTAACTTCCAACACATCTGTTCTGGTTTTACATCCGGGAGCACATGAAACGACACTTCATTTGTTGGTTCTTCAGCCCCTTAAAGGAAGCTGAGGCACGTGTAGTCTCGGATGAACTCTTGTAAAGGAAGACATCTCTGGCTATTTCTATAAATAAAGCTGTCCTTCCAGTTGGAGGACTTCATTCACTAGCTCTGGAAGAGTTTGGGAGAATCCCCCTTAAGCATCTAAAAAAAAAATAGGCCAAGGTAAGATGTTATCACTGGGAGACAGTGGGTAAAGAGCACATGGGATCTCTCTGTAGCTCCTCTGCTACTTCCTTTAAAACTTAACAAGGGGGTTAGTAGCCTCGGGAAGCTGGCCTTCCAGGCAGGACAGGTAACAAACCAAACCCATTGCCATGGAGGCGACCCCCAACGTACACAGTAGAACTCTGCTCCACAAGGTTCTCAAGGCTGTGAACTTTCACAAGCACCTAAGCCCCTTTCAGTGGGTTTGAGACAGGGAACCCAGGGGACCTCTGAGAAAGTTATGAGGAAAGCAAAGATTTTGTCTCGAGGACAGGAGTTCTCCAATGTATCCCAGTGCCTGGGACATGACAGAAGGCGCTCAGGAAATGTTCACTGAGTGGACTCTCAGCGATGGGTGATCGCTCAGAAGTGTAGCCTCATTGTTGTTGTTAAGTGTCATTGTTGGTCGATGCTGACTCACAGCAATCCCAGCAGCAGCTGGTGAGTTTGAACCTTGGACCTTACAATTCAAACGACCTTGAGGTTCCTTGAGGTTCGGTGATTATCCTACAGAGCCCAGCTGAGGCCTTCAGGGGGCCCAACCTCCACCTCATACTTGGCTTCTCCAATGAGGCTCCCTCACACAGGGAGCCTAGGAGGCCTCTTGGAATGGGAAAGCTTTAATCACAAGACCAGTTTACAGTCTGCTTACTTCCTCCGAAGATGTTTTCCAGGTCAACTGGTTTACCTTGAAGGATGACCTTTCTCTGGGGACAAAGGAGAAGCCAGAATGCTCCAAATAACCCCTAGCACACAGCACTCACCTCCAGGACTTGAGCTGGCTGAGCCCCACCGCCCAGACTTTTTCACTCAGGTGTAGAGCATCAGCTGGGCATGGGCAAGATGCCGCGTTCCTAACACGTGCCCAGCTGATGCTCTACACCTGAGTTCCAAAGAACTTGGGCGCAGCATCCATCCACCAACATCCCAAAATAAGCATTGTCTGCCCCTACTAGAGGCCTGTGCAGTGGACTCCATCTTGCAGAAACGCTGTGCACACAACTAATTAGCACAGCCCCCACCCCCCCAACTGACCACTTCTGGGAAAACCCAGCCTGCTCTTAAGAATAAACATAATACCTTATCCGGACCTAAAATCATTTTAAACGCCAGCAAACTCCTGGTGTGGTGCTGTAGGATAAGGTTGGTGATTCAAGCTCACCAGTCCTACCTTGGAAACCCTATACAGGGTCACTATGAGTTGAATCAACTCGACGGCACTTAACAACAACAAAGTCTTTGCTCGGCTAGTCAGGGGTTAAATGTTGCTTTAAGCCCTCCCATCCCTGCTTGCAAACAGATAAGAAACCTTTGCTCACGTGGAACCTCTGCCTCACCTGACTGTTCTTAGTCAGTAGAAGGCAAGAAATGAAGTCAGCAAGATTGGTAGTTCAAAATCCCCAGCCAGTCCTTGGAAACCCTCTACAGAATCGCTATGAATTGGAACCAACTTGACAGCACTTAACAACAACAACAACAACAATTTAGATAGGGTCACCAGCTAGGAAAGCCCCCTCTTAGACCAGACCCCGAGGCAGCAACTTTATGAATAGCTGGAGGAAGAGTTGTAGGTAGAGAGACCAGCAGAAGCTAAGGCCCTGGCCTTCAAATCACAGACTGCTGCTAACTCCCAGGATCCCAGAAAGAATGAAAACCAGTCACGGCTGAGTCCGTACGGTTTTCAATGGCTGAGTTTTAGGAAGTAGTTCAGCAGACCTTTCTTTCCAGGTACTCCTGGTGGGCTTGAACCTCAAACCTTTCAGTGTGTTAACCATGTGCACCACCCAAGGACTCCCATGAGAAACTGTTGTTAAGTGCTGTCCAGGAGGGTCCCAATCGATAGTGACCCTGTATAGGGTTTGCTGAATCTGAACTGCTGAGCTTGCAGTTCAAAGCAACCTCGCAGTCCAGCACATTAACCACTGCGCCACACTAGGACTCCCACGAGATATTAGAGCATGGATAAATGAAAAATCTACAAGTTTCACAGAATATAAAGTCTCAACTTTATCCACCGTACCACCCTAAGCCTTCCCCCGCACTCTTTGGCAAACCCTGACCTGGCCCTTCAGGTACTCAGAGGAGGCAGCAGGGCACCCAATCTGCCTGGGGTGGGCAAGTCACACTGACTTAAGGCTCCAGTACAAACTTAAAGGCTTGTCAACTGTCCCCAGGGCACTGAGAAAATCAGGGGAAGGAAGTCTCCCCTAGAGGACCACAGGAGAGCAGCGGAGAATGGGGAGCTCAGGGTAGCTGGGGAACCGTGTGTTCAGGCAGAGAGCAGGAAGGAAATGTTGCTGAGTAAGACAGGCAGACGTGAGAACTCAGGGCACTCCACCAATGAAGAAACTATTAAATACGTCAAACCAGTGGCCATCAAGTCAACTTTCACTCAGGGTGACCCCGTGAGTGTCAGAGTAGAACTGAGTTTCACAGCGTGTTCAGTGACAGATCTTTCAGATGTAGAACACCAGGCCTTTTCCCCCTAGGAACCCCTGGTATGCTCAAGCCATCACCTTTTGGGTTAGCAGCCCAGTGAGTTAACTGCTTGCACTACACAGGGCCTCCACACCTCAGGTGCCAACCATCTACGAAGCGCAGCGGAACAAAACTGTCTTGGAGTCTGGTGTGGCTCCTCTGTGTATCAGATACCACCACAAGCTTTCCCAGGTTAGAAATAAAAGCGACACTCACCTGCATAAATGTATGACATTCTGTGACAAAATCCCCTTTGGTAATCTGCTTAAACTTATCACAAACGTCCGCAAAACTGCTGGCTTCCAAAATAAAAGCCTGATGCTGCTTAATTAAAGTTAAGGCCACTCTGAAGATAATTTTGGAGCCTTCGTTGAATAAACAATCCCAGATCCGAAGCACAGTCTGTAGGAAGAGATGTAAAACACAAGAACCACTCAGTCACTTAACTTACAACACGACCCGACCAGAGTCCTGCAATTGAAGTTCTGCTGAGTCTCAAGATGCAGGTGTGCTCTTACCTCTACAGGTAGGATGTCAATGAACAAGCAAATGAACCAGCGGGACACCACCAGGGTCCACGGGACACCATATCCCTCCAGCAGGTCTGCCACTGCGGGAATCTTCATCCTCACCATCTCCCCCAGCACCTCCTGGTCTGTTTTCAGACCCAGCATTGCAGGGCTATAGTAGTCTTCCATAGAGGAGGGCAGAAAGAAAAGACATGTATGTAAAGTATACACTCAGAAAAACCCCCAAAGTTCCAGCTAACAGATATATCCTGTTCCCCTTTGAGCTGGCTCAAACATGTCTATTCATGTAGGCTCCTTTTCCAAAGGGAAAAGGCTCCACCTCAAACTCGGAAGCCATGGTAAATGTCTCTGAGAAGCAACTAGGCTTCCCAGGATGGCCACTAAGGGGAGCTCTGGTGCTTTGTATCTGGATGCCTGGTCTGGCTGGCTAAGGCCTCAGCTGGATACCAGTCAAAATCAGCTTGTGGGAACTGATTTGCATTTCGGCTGTAGCGATTAGCCCCCTGGAAGCCACAATGAATAAACCAAGGCGCTGGACTGCAAGGTCAGTTTGAACTGCAAGGTCGTGGGTTCAAGCTCACCAGCTACTTCTCAGAAACCCTATACAGTCTTGCTATGAGTCAGAACTGACTAGACGACACTTAACAACAACAGTGTGGCTCTGTGGGTTAATGTGCTGGAATGCAAGGTCATTGGTTCAGATTCACCAGCCACTGCTTAGAAACTTGATGCAGGATCCTTATGAGTTGGGACCAACTTGAAGGCACTTAACAACAAAAAATCTCAATTGCTTCCTTTAGCAGTCGTAAAACTGACTACTTGGGGGCAAACTTGAGAGTTCTATCAACTACAGGGTGGAGTCCTGAGGGCTTGAAAGAGAAGGACTTGGCTGTTCAAACACAAGCTCTATGAGCAAGCAGCTACTTAAAATGGAGGGTTGAGGGTGGGCGCTATATGTTAATCTTACATTCCAGGATCAAAGGACTCCAGGACCATCAAGGGAGAAGAGCATGAACAACCTGTGGGACCCTCTCCAGAGAAGCGGCGACACCAGAGATGGAGGCACAGATGAGGACATGAAGAGAGGGAGCAGCTGAGGACTCTAGATTCATGGAAAGAGAGGGGCCTCCATGAGAGATGGTGGCCAGGAGGCAAGCTTGCAGAACGTGTCCTTTGGTTGTTTAAATGATTATATACTCCTGAGTGTTTTTGGGTACATCCCCCTGCCCCCAAACAAAAAACAGAGGGAATAGAAGCAAATACTGCTGAATGATGCACGGAGGAAATTGTAATCACTGCACTGAAATGATGAGTGTTAAACCAATGTTCTCCCTTGTAAACTATCACTCAGTTCACAATAAAAACTTAAAAAAAAAAAAAAGTTTACTTAAACAAACAAAAAAAACCCCACTGCCACTAAGTGGATCTTATATAGGGTTTCTGAGACAAAATCTTTACCCGTGGATTCTTACTCACAGTGAGGGCCCTTACATAGGGTTTCTGAGACGAAATCTTTACAGGTGCAGACAGCCTCCTCGTCTTTCTCCTGAGGAGCAGCTGGTGGATTTGAACCACTGACTTTTTGGTTAGAAACCCAATGCTTAACACCCACAGTGCCACCAAAGCTCCAAATCAAACACACTGACATCTAGTCGATTCAAACTCAGAGACTTCTGGGAGCAGACAGCCTCATCTTTCTCCCATGAACAGCTGTGGGTTTAAACAGATGACCTTGTGGTTAACAGCCCAACACTTAACTCTCTTTGCCACCAGGCCTTTTCCGTGACAAGATTACATCCTAGAAAACCCCATGGGGCACTTTTACTCTCTCACAGCGGGTAGTTATGAGTCAGAATTGACTTGAGGATATCCAATAATAGTAACATAGTCTTTTGTTGGTTTTTTTTTATAGTTTTTGTTGTGAATTGAGTGATAGTTTACATGGGAGAACATCAGTTTTACACTCATTGTTTCATTTCATATAATAATTTAAACATTCTGCAAGCCTGCCTCCTGGCCGCCAGCACTCAGTCCCTCTCTTTCAATGAATCTAGAGTCCTCAGCTGCTCCCTCTCTCCATGTCCCCATCTCTGCCTCCATCCCTCGTGTTGCTGCTTCTCTGGATAAGGTCCTGCATTTCGCTTGTGCTCTTCTCCCTTGATGGTCCTAGGGTCCCTTCTGTTCCTGGACTGTAACATTTACTCCCCACTTTATGTTACAAAATGTCTTAGTTGAGACAGTTGCGATTAGTCATGATAACAATTACTATTAAATCATAAGAATCTGCTCCCCATTTCTTTTCACCAGACCCATCTAAACAACATGAAAACTAATAAGAGTCTTAACTGTTTATACTTTCCTATGACCCTAGCTATAAGCCTTATATGAAAGCCAGTTGAAAAATAAAAATGAAAGTTTATAATAAAAATTTAGATGTCTAATTTACTTAATGAAATGTGAATTTTAAATCTGTTGAGCCAAGCAGGATGCTCTGCTGTCCACAAGCACTTTGGTTATTCACCACGGCAAAGGAAGAAGATAATCCTCTTAATTAAATTTTGTGGCTAAACAGGATCCTAAATAATGACATCACAACCACATTATTAATTGTCAAAGAGGAAACACACAGTGTTGTTGTTGTTAGGTGCCATCAAGTCGGTACCTACTCATAGCGACCCTATGCACAACAGAACAAAACACTGCCCATTCCTGGGCCAACTTCACAACTGTTGCCACACTTGAGCCCACTGATGCTGCCACTTTGCCAGTCCATCTCATTGGGGGTCTCCCTCTTATTCTCTGACCTTCCATCTTACCAAACATGATACGCTTCTCCAGCGACTGGTCCCTCCTGACAATATGTCCGAAGTATGAGAGACAAAGTTTGGCCATCCTGGCCTCCAAGGAGCACTCTGGATGCACATCCTCCAAAACGGATCTATTGGTTCTTTTGGCAGCCCATGGCACTTTCAGTATTCTCCTCCAACACCTTAACTCAAATGCATCAATTCTCCTACGGTCTTCCTTATTCACTGTCCAGCTTTCGCATGAATATGAGGTTATTGAAAATACCATGACTTGGGTCAGGCACACCTTAGTCCTCAAGTTGACATCTTTGCTCTTCAACACTTTAAAAAGGTCTTGTGCAGCAAAGTTTGATTTCTTGACTGCTGTTTTCATGAGTGTTGATGGTTGATCTGAGGAAAATGAAGTCTTTGACAACTTCAATCATTTCTCCATTTCCATGTTGCTGTTAGGTGCCATCGAATTGGTACTGACTTATAGCAACCCTATGCACAACAGAATGAAACACTGCCTGGTCCTGGGCCAACCTCACAATTGTGTTTATATGGATGTTGTTTACTGGACCAGTGGTGAGGAATTTTGGTTTTTTTACATTGAAGTACAACCCACACAGAAGGCAGTGGTGTTTGATCTCCATCAATATTTCAAGCGAAGACCTCTTCACTTTCAGCAAGCAAGGTTGTATCATCTGCGTATCACAGGTTATTAATGAATCTTCCTCCAATCCTGATGGCATGTTTTTCTTCATATAATCTAGCTTCTCGAATTATTTGCTCAGCATACAGAATGAGTAAGTGTGGTGAAAGAACACAACCCTGGCACACACCTTTACTAATTTTAAACCAGCCGCGCTATTTATCGTGTTATTTATTGGTCCAGTGGTGTGGTCCAGTAATCCGCACAATGGTGGGGGTGGTGTGTGCCGTGGAGTCGGTTCTGATTCATAGTGACCCTGCGCAGGGTTTCTGAGGCTGTAAATCTTTACAGCAGCAGAAACCCTCATCTTTCTCCTGTGGAACAGCTGGTAATTTTGAACTGCTGACCTTGAGGCTAGCAGCCTATCTCATAAGCACTATGCTCCCAAAGTTCCTTGGTCCACATGATAAAGGATACTTCTTAATACTAAAGTGTTCAGAAAATAATTTGAGTAAATATCAATGTAGTTACAAAATGCCAGGGATTTAAAAAGTCATCCCTTTTCAGTTCTTATTTTGCATCTATCGGAATCCTTGAATGCTCTGCTGTGTTGTTGTTGTTTTTAATTGAGCAACATTCCATTCCAGTTTGGGAGGATAGAGCAAAGACTCTTAAATCTCACCGACTTCTTTTTTTCTGTTACTGAGCATCATTAACGCCAACCCAAATCATACAACTAGCACCTTGAACTCAGATCAGATCTGAGCCCTGTGGACCCTGAAGGTGATTGTGCAAAGAATCAAAGGATAAGGATTCAGCACGGTATGACCATGTCCTCAATGACAGAGAGCCTATAGAACAGCTTCCAAAAAAAAAAAGACGTTAAACTCATTCCCTCAACTGCTACATGCCTCAGTCAGGTTACTGAGCAGAAACTGAACCCACCACACCTGTATCTGCCCTCCCAAATGCATCCTTTTCTTGAGCACTGAATGCAAAACAAACTGCTATTTTTTTCTAGGTCTGGTCCAGCTTCAACATTTTCATTCTAAACCAGGAGAGCAACACATTGGTGGTGTACCGGAATCAGAGAAAGATCTTAACATTCCCCCATCGGAGCCAACACTGAGGTTCCCTGGTAGCAGCTGCACCGCTTGTACCTCCCAGCTGCCCCATGTCATTTCTCTTGAGGACATGCAAGCCTTTGCAAACAATCTAATAAACTCTTGACAGAGGCTCAGACGCGGCACTGTCTGCACCTCCAAGACAAGGTAGAGACCGACACTCTAGTCTTCCCCTCATGATGTCACAGCTGAAAATGTGCTGCTATGTGTTCACAAGTTGAAGAAATGCTGGAAGACGCCATGGCTTTAATTTTCTCCCTGATTCTTGATTTGTTGTTTTCCTAAATTTCCAGCATGAATGTTTAGGAGTTACATCATCACACAAACACAGACTCTTGAAGTGCAAATCAAACCAAACCAGTTGCTGTCAAATTCATCCTGACTCGGGGCGACCCCGTGCGTCTCAGTGTAGATCTGTGCTTCATAGGGTTTCCCATGGCCAATTTTTTTAAAAAAAAAAAGACAAATAAAATTTAAAGATAAAGAAGACACTTCCTCTCTTTCCTTTTCTTTCAGCATTCACTCTAGAAAATGTGTAAGGTCTTTCCTGGTCTATTTGAAAAGTATATAAATGTAGATAGGATGTTTTTTGAAGG